CCGCTCTTGATTCACATATCACAAGGAGTTTGTCCTTGACACGAAGTTACTTGACATGTGTTGATACGATGCTTTTTAAGTGTTCTAAAATTGTTTCTATGAAGTCTTTCTATGTGAACGTAAACCTTTCCAGGGCAAGAAAGGACCCCCTTCTGTCACCACAGCTACCACAACATTATTTAGCACATACTGGCATTCTGTGCTTATTTACTGATGGATGATCAAAAAAATATTGTTTTGTGTTCAAAACAGTTTTCAGATTTCAAGTTCGAATTATTTTCAAATGGATTCTTATTGTCCAGACACTTAGTTAAATTTCTACTGGCTTTTGCTTAATGCAAAATCTTAAAGTTTTGGAAGAAGATTGAGTGAAAGTTGAGTGAGACACCAGATTACTTGCTGGTGTCTACGTTAGGATTTAATACAGGAAAGGAAATATATGTAGGGAATAGCCAACAGAACATTCAATTCTGAATCCTTCAGAAATGTATCTCTCTGAAGATTTAAAGGAACTTAAAAAAAAAAACCCAGCATGAATCAGAATGAAATAATTAGTAAACACTTATTAAATGTAGAGATGTTTTATCTACATAATTTTTATGAAGGTCTTTTTTAATAAATATAAATAAATTACATGTAAGAGATTTCAAATTAGTATCTGCAAACTAGATAATAATTTAATTATACGGTTTGAACATCTATAATAATAGCAGCAACCAGCATCTATCTTTGTTTACTAAGAGATCTGTTTAACTTGGCCAGTGGGACATTGAAACCAAATTTTAGCCCTATCTGATAAAAATACTATTTTCAAAGCTAGAGCCATGATATGATAAGAACGGGGTCCCCCCACTACCTTTAATGAGACTTGCATCAGGTTATTTTTCCAAAAGCTAATTTGCCACAGTTGGAAAATATATCTTTTAAAGGATATGTTTTTTTGTTTGTTTGATGAGAGATTTTTAATAAAACTGTAGTAAACACTGCCATGCTTTATTATTATCCATTGTGGCACATGTTGCATCATGGCTAACATCAATAGTTACATCCTCATCAAATCTTATATAACCAGGTCACCAATTAAGCTGGTAATTGGTATAGTCCTTGAGTGTCAGTTTTGTAAAGGAATTCCGCTGAATGCATATGACATAGTAAATAGCTTTCGAAGTAATAACATTATGCTATAATGAAAACAGGTCTTTGAAGTTTGAGTCTTCATTTATTTATTCTTTTATTTTAGGCACTTTATAATCAGTATTTACAGTTTAAAGAAACAGAAATTCCACCAAAGGAGACAGAAAAATCAAAAATTAAACGCCTATATAAATTATTAGAGGTAAGCAGAAATTTCCTTTGTATTGTCAAATATAATCTTTGTTATTTATTTATTTATGTATTTATTTGTCTGTTTGTTTTTACATCTTTGCATTACATTACATTTTTTTTTCTCAAGATTTGGATAGAATTTGGACGCATCAAACTCCTTCAGGGTTATCATCCAAATGATATAGAAAAAGAATGGGGGAAACTCATTATTGCCATGCTTGAGAGGGAAAAGGCACTTCGTCCAGAAGTAGAAAGGTAAGCTGGACTTATTTCTGCCATTGATATCAGGTGGGGAGGGGTGGTCTCTTTGTTTTCATGGAAAGAACTTGAATTTTAGAATTCGTACCAGCATTTACCTTTTCTATTTCCTTGGCTGTGTGACTTTGGATAAGTCACTTAGTCTTTCTGATCCTCCATTTTTTAATCTAGAAACTCTTCTGAGAGATTTGAGAAGTAAATCCGTGTAGGAAGGTTTAAAAGGACCTGATAGGCTGAGTTAGTGTATAACTCAGACGGTGGTTACAGTTTTAAAGCCTATCAAAATTACCCATGAGAATTTCTCAGACTGGCTTTCAAAACACCAAAGCCTGAATCTGGAAGCTCGTAGGTCAATAATTAACATATTTTGTTTTTTATATTTTGGTTATGGCTGTCTTTCCATGGGGCAATGGAAACAAGTGTTCTTACTGCCTCCGTTTAAAGGGCAGTGAGGTGGCTTCTAGAAAACAGTAAATGTCGGTTCAAATTCCCTTTTGGGGAACTTGTACAAATGCATTTATTCCATGAAATCATCATTGATTCTTTATCTTCCTCTCTCTTCCACTACACCTGGTTGCCTGGGAAGGTGCCTCAGGAGACGTTTGTTGGATGGATTTGTCTTCATTATAGTCCTTACCTCACAGCCTTAACCTGTAGTACATGGGAATTGTGATCTCTGTTCCTCATTAGCTCTGAGCTGCATAGGGGCTGGGCCTTACAGCGTAAGGGCTTTCTGGTCAGGCATACCTCTCAGGCCTGTCTCACACTATACCCTCCTTGCTATCTGTAGTGCATTCACATTCTGTCTCTCAGGAGCTCTCATGTGCCAAGGTCCCACCCTCCATATTTGGGATCTTGGCAGCTGTCTGTTCCTTTGGCAGGGAAGTCTGTTTTCTTCTCCACCTCTCTCTTTACTCCTAATCATTCCAGAATTGGGCTCCAGTGTTACCTTCTTGAGAAACATTCCCTGGTCTCCCAGGCTAGTTCAGATGTCTTGGTCATAACTCTTCTATTTACACGTATTGTGCCTTCATAACACTTATCTCGGTTGTAATTTTGTGTTTATTTCTGTAATCGTTTGATTGAGGGTTACCTGTTCCACAGTTATGAGCTCCAAGAATGTGGAGACACTCTTGTTTTTGCCGTCCCTCGTGTTGTCAGTGTTTATAACACAGTGGCCGGCATGCATAGAGGCACTCAGTATACTTATGTTCTCTGTACCCCAAATGTGACGTCAACACTGTCAAAATAGGAAATCATATATATGTTGGTGAAATGAGAGTAAGTCTAACTTGTCGATCCTTTATTAAATTACTGATTACACTCTTGTTAAAGAATATTATATTTACATAACTGGATCATTGCAACCAAAATAAAGTTGAAGTACATGAGATGGACCTTTTATGGGAGAGGCAATTGTGGGTGATTAAAATGAGATATTAAGCTAATCATCTGAAGTAATGGAGAGTATGCCAGAGAAAGGGTATGGAGTAGATTTTTAGACATGAAAATAGTAGCTGGATTTTAATATATGTTAATAAAAGAATGTAGTGTTAAGAGTTCAAGGTCCAAGAATCAGTCAATCCTGGATTAAATTATTAGCTCAGCTTGCAAGCCATGTCATTTTAGACAAGTTTATTAACCTCTTTAAGCCTCAGTTTCCTCATTTGTAAAGAGGAGGTAATAGTATCTACCACATTTGGTGGTTATGAGTATGAGATGAGGTAATATATATAAAATGATTAATTAATTTACTGGCACATAATTGCTTAATAAATGTTAGGTGCAACTGTTATTACTTTGAAATTTTCTGTGTGCTGACTGTGATATGGCACTCTCAAGTTTCTCCTTTCTTGCCTTCTGAAAAGAAAATATCAACCTTCAGATTGGAGAAGCAGCAGTTTGGCTTTGTAGTGTTGGGGGTAGGAAAATATTTAAGAGCTTGTTTGGATAAACGCCTTCAGTTTTCTTGATGTAACAAGTATTTTGTCACTAACTATATATCACAAGCAATAGCTATGTGCATGGGAGTGTGTAAAAGACAAACAAGAAGTTCTTATGTCAGGTAATAGCCTAGAGAACAAACAAGCACAGGTAAATTTGCAAACATTGCATCGATATTCTACTAAGCACATTGGTTTTTAAAAATATAAAGTGACTATATAGGAAGATTGGAAGTAATATTCCTGAGAACCATCCTATTAAGAAGGGTAAATGGATTATTTTCTAATTAATTTAACCTAATAAACTAATGACATGGTAGTTAAAATGGGAATATATGTTATTTCTCATCAAACTCATTTGTTTATACATGCTTATAAGTGCCAGCTTTTAGCCTTGTGTTATTCAGTGCAGACCTGGCCCTTTACAAAAATCAGGCTATAATTGACTATTTGTGTTCTTTTAGCTGATGATTGCTATTGCAGAACAACTTTTACTAATTGTACTTGGGCTTCAGTGAGGCATCTGAGTTGTTTTTTTAAGTGGTTACATTTGGATGACTCTTGGCGAAAATATTTGGGCAGTCTTTTTCAGTGACGCCCTGATCAGCCTGCCTTGTCTATTCTTGTAGAATTTTAATGCAAGCTACAAAAGGTAAACCTCAGCTAGCAAACCCATGGCTTTAGGCAAGATTCTTTTGAATAGTTATCAGCATGTTATTTGCTGTGTGTTGAATATGCATGTTGCAACATATTTAAGGAGCCAGTAAATCTGTAACATTCAGCTGCCACTTTTCACCGTTAGAAGTACAGGTCTTTGCAGACCTTCTACTTTTTAGTCTACTTCTAATGGCCAAGAAAGAACAACTTTTCAGGAATAAAAATGCACAGTAGTAGTTACAGTTACCATAGCAGTGATTCTGTGTTTAGTAACACTACTAGCACTCGAACCAGTCTTGATTCAAACGAAAATTTTCTCTCTGTTAACTGTGGTCCAACACTGATCAACTCCTGCATTAGCTTCGGCAATGAATCCTTTGATGGATACAGGTATTGAATCCTTGGTGCGGGATTTTGTTTTACTTTCGGTGGGCAGCACTTTTCAGTGATTGTGAACTCCACGACTTCCAAGGAAAAGGCTTCGTTTTATTTTGTTCCTTCTTTTAGGCTGGAAATGTTGCAGCAGATTGCCAGCCGAGTCCAGAGGGACAGTGTCATCTGTGAAGACAAACTGATACTTGCCCGAAAGGCTCTCCAGTCCGTAAGTTAATTTTAGGAGCTGTTGGGATTGTGGTAGAGGGCTCTGTGCTTTTGGATGAACTAAAACTTTTGCATAACATTTGGTCAATTCTGGGTATTTTTGTCAACTGAAACTTAAAGTTAGTTGAAGATTATGAGCACTATTTGCTCTGTTGAGGGACAGTGAGCAAAAGCAAAGCATGTTTTTGAAACACAAGGGAAAATAGAGAAAACCTAAGTAGGCTTCTGTTACAATAATTCGAGTTTTACATTTGAGACTAGTTTTGAAACGTGGCTTCACAAAATTAATATTGACTTTTTTTTTTTTAACACAGGATTCTAAAAGATTAGAATCAGGGGTCCAGTTTCAGAATGAAGCAGAAATTGCCGGGTATATACTTGAATGTGAGAACCTTTTACGCCAGCATGTAATTGATGTACAGATTCTTATCGATGGAAAATACTACCAGGCAGATCAGTTGGTACAGAGGTAAGAGTGCTATTTATTCATACTTTGTTCTTTTGTATAACTGTTTTGTGGGCATTCATGATAGGAATGTAGAGTATGGCAATTTTATGAATGTATAAGAAAAATATTTTTCCAGTTTTCTCTTATCCTATTATGAAAATGTTTTATAACAAAATATTGGAAAAAAATATATGTGGATAAAAATATATCTTTGGGAAGTAGGTTTGGGAGTAGAGACGGAACTTTTTGGCTTGTATACTATATATACATACATATATATATATGTACACATACATACATAAATATATGTGTATGTGTGTGTGTGTGTGTATGAAGCAAAAATGGTAAATGATGTCCTGATCCAGTTATTCCACCTTTAAGAAATCTATAGTAATTCTAAAAATAAAATATATAAGTAAATATAGATAAAAAGGCTCTGTTCACATGAGAAATGTTTTATAATAAAAATTTGGAAATACCCTAAATGTCAAATAATAGGAGAATGATCACAATATAGTGTAGTAATTATGTTTCTTATAAATGGTAGTTATAAAGTCTATGTGATAATGAAAGTGCTCATAGTATAAGTCAGTGAAAAAAAAAAAAGGGTGTAAACTTTTCTCAATATGATTACAATGACTTTTTAAAAAATAGACTTTATTTAGTAGTTTAGATTTAGCAGGGAAATTGAGTGGAAAGTACAGAGAGTTCCCATATGCCTCCTTAATCCCCTTCCCTTATTAACATCTCGCATTAGTGTGATACACTTGTTATAATTGATGAGCCAATATTGAAACATTATTGTTAACTAAAATCCATGGTTTACATTAGAGCTCACTCTTTATGAAAAACGTCTGTTATAGTTTATGCCTTTTGATTTTCTTTTCAGAGTTGCAAAACTGCGCGATGAAATTATGGCCTTAAGGAATGAATGTTCCTCAGTGTACAGCAAAGGACGCATGCTGACGACAGAACAGACAAAACTCATGATATCAGGAATTACTCAAAGTTTAAACTCAGGATTTGCACAGACCTTAAACCCAAGTCTGAACTCAGGGCTGACCCAGAGTTTAACGCCTTCTCTGACCCCTTCAAGTGTGACATCAGGCCTGTCATCAGGTCTGACTTCCCGCCTGACTCCATCTCTCACACCAGCTTATACACCTGGTTTCCCAGGACTAGTTCCAAATTTTAGTTCAGAAGTAGAGGCAAATTCGTTGCAAACCCTGAAGTTGATGCAGATCCGAAAGCCCCTTCTAAAGTCATCTTTGCTGGATCAGAATTTAACAGAAGAGGAAATCAACATGAAATTTGTTCAGGATCTTTTGAATTGGGTTGATGAAATGCAGGTAAAAAGTGTTTACTTTATCTGAAAATTTCAGTCTTTATTGCTCTCAGTTTTAGTTTTAAAACTAGTATTTTCTGTTTAAAGGTGCAACTGGACCGCACTGAATGGGGATCAGATTTACCAAGTGTTGAAAGCCATTTAGAAAATCATAAAAATGTTCACCGAGCTATCGAAGAATTTGAACCTAGCCTTAAAGAAGCTAAAATCAGTGAGGTATATCAATTTAAAATTTTATATATATTTCATTTGAATTTCCTGATGTTTTGCTTTTTATCTAAAGACCCTGTGACAAGATAATAGATACACTGAGTATGAGTCAAAATTCTCTAAGATTCCTAACCTTGATGTCTTTTTATACCATATTATAGATCCAAATGACGGCACCTCTTAAATTAACTTACACAGAAAAATTGCACAGATTAGAGAATCAGTATGCAAAACTTTTGGTAAGTTGTTTAAAATGTTGTTTCTCTCATCTCTATTTGGCAAAGACATGATTCTTACAGTGATTTTTCTTATAAAGAATACATCCAGAAATCAGGAACGGCACCTTGATACACTCCATAATTTTGTAACTCGTGCAACTAATGAACTTATTTGGTTGAATGAAAAAGAAGAAGAGGAAGTTGCTTATGACTGGAGTGAAAGAAATACCAACATACCTCGGAAAAAAGATTACCATGCTGTAAGTACAACTTTTGTAATTGAATATGAAAGTTGCATTTCAGATTTAGATCTTTATCTAAGACATTTCTGAATTTTTTCTTAATTTAGGAATTAATGAGAGAACTCGAGCAAAAGGAGGAAAATATTAAATCAGTTCAGGAGATAGCAGAGCAGCTACTTCTGGAAAATCACCCAGCCCGATTAACTATTGAGGTAAATCAGGAAGTAAAATAGTCATGATTGAAAACTGTCATTTGGTTATTTCCCTTCAGATTCTTTCATTGCTGATAAATTGAAAAATGCAAACTATCAAGTTTTTATTACAACTTGGCTCAAAAATAATATTCTTGACAAATCATATGATTTGTCTTCAGTTCTCTTGTTCTAAGTGTGTCACCCACCCATCACTTAAAATAAATGTACCTTTGTCAACCCCTGTGACCGAAGAGATACATTGCAGTAAATATAAAAGACTTTGACTTTACAAGCTTCTATGTGTTATTTTCTCCGTCATGATTGTGTGACATTGCACAAGTGACGTATCCTTTCCAAGCCTCATTCACCTACCTAAAAAGGGGAAAATTGCTTCTAACCCATAGAGTGTGGTGAGAATGAGAACAATAATGTACTCTTACTACCTAGTATAGGTCTTGGTACATAGTATGTACCAAGAAGTGTTAGTCACTATTCTTTCATTTAATAATTTTATCTATGATCTGATTTTGTGAGGTGTATTGAAATTCCATACTGGCAAGGAGTCATGGTATTGAGTGCACGTTTCAAATCCAGAAGTAGAAAATTGATGTGGAGTTTATCAGGTTGTCCATGCAGTGGCAGTGGCAGCATCATATTTAACTTTTAGGCCTGATATATACTAGTTAGGGTTAGTGACTTTCTAAATGTGAAGGTGGCGGGGGGTGGGGTTTAAGTGAGGAGCATCAGATATGGAGAGATGTGGTATATTGGCAAAGGGAAAAAAAGTGAAGCTGTGCTTAAAATGTGATGTGCCTCAAACTGTGACAGTTGAGGGTATGAATCTGATAGTCTTTGTTCACTGAAATCATCATGACACGAAAGATTAGTAAAATTCTAGGTCTCACTAGGAAGTTTTGGGAATGTTACATTTGACCTTTTATATGAAAATAAGGTTTTGCATCCTCATGAAATGCCGTGTAGGAATGTTAAAGATACAGAGGAGTAGGAGGAGCAATAGAGAAAGGAAATTAGAATAAGAAAGAGTCTGAATATATTGTTGTACAATAATAAACTAAAAATAGAATATTCCTTAAAAAGATGAAAGCTGTTAGGATTATATTATATGTTAGGATGATATGACTATAGGTTAAGAATTTTGATGGGAATGGAAAATGTAGATGTGAACCTGATTACTTTTATGTAAAAATGTTAATCTAATTAAAAGTTTCTTGAGGGATAACATTAAGCCTTAGTCATTTTTATGATATCAATGGCCTATTCAGTGTCTTGTGGGTATGTAGATAATAGTATTTCATATTTATATGTAAAATAAACTCATAATCTAACAATGCACGGTATGTCCTTTTATAGCCAATTTACTCAAAGTAGCTTACTTTGAGGGAGCAGATAATAAGATCATGGTGTGTTGCCAGATTTCCAGTGCTGCCCCGTACATTCCATCAGAAAGCCTGCCTGAGCATAGCTCACTAGGAATGAATTTTTTCGAGATGAAGAGTGACAGGGTTACTTATGATAATCATTAAAGTTTCTAGAGCTCCCTCTTCTGGAAGTCGGTGAATTGCACCTTAAATATAAATGTTCCATGTTTCCCTAATGAATATTGTCTTCTACAATATTTTTGCCCTCATGAAAGATGCACTTTAATAAAGTCTTAAATAAAAATTCAAGGAAACAAATATTTTTAATAAAAAGTCCTAGTATTATAATGATTATAATCCCAGAATTACATTGATATGGGATTACATTAACTCTTCTGTACTCTCCCCAAATATTTTCCTGGTAAAAACAAATAAATACCCCGTCTCCCCAAAGAGCTTCTGGCCTGGTTTTAGGAGCCAAAACAAAGAGAAAACTACAGAACCATATATTTTGTGTCAAAGGTGTATTTTATAACCCAGTAATATGAAAATCCAGAGAAAAGAAAGATGAAGGGAAAGTATCATAAAGGAAAGCATATTTTAAGATTCCACAAAGTTAGAGAAAGGGTTGGTGGGAAAAGGTTAGCTTGTATCCATTTCGAATGTTAAATATTTTTTTATGTCAAAATAGCCAGAGTTAGCATTTCCCATAAATTTTAAGAAAAAAATCAAAAATTTAAAATTTAAAATAAATGAACTGAACTAATTTAAAAATTTATATTTAAACTTTTAGGACAGGCTTTGGGCAAATGATAACTCTTAGATTAGAGGGACATTTCACTACCCTGAATAATCTCATTTCAATAATCTCACCATCTATTTAAATAGAGTCTTTTATCCTTTAAAAGCACTGTTGTAGATGTGTGTCATTACTCTCCAGGCAGTGACAATAGCTGTGTTTTATCTTTAAGGCCTACCGAGCGGCAATGCAGACACAGTGGAGCTGGATCTTACAGCTCTGCCAGTGTGTGGAACAGCACATAAAGGAGAACACTGCATATTTTGAGGTATGTGAACGGATTCACAACTTCAACAGATGGCATTGTGATTTTGTCTGATTTACAAAAATGTCCTTGTAATTTATTGTTGCAATACATGTATGTAACATGTAGGGGAAATAAACTGAAATATTTTGTTTGTAGGATATAAGGGGTGTATGTCCTATAGGATACATTGAAACATTCTGTTAAGGAGGAAATCTTTTAAAAGAACCCTTAAAGTGTCAGAAAATCTTTATTTTACAAATGTGTCTCTTATAAAGGAAATATTTTCATTACAGAGAGTCATTACAGAGAGCTCTTTTTTTCCCCCTGTTCTTCAGAAGTTTTAAGTTATTCTTCAGATTTCACCCCTGAAGAATTGTTTGGAATGTAATAAACTTTGGACACTTAGTATTCATTCACAGTTATCCAAATTCAAGAGCTCTTGTTTGGTTAAAAGAGGGAGATGGCTATAAAGTTTTATTTTGATTTTATTCTGTTTTCACTTATGAGGAGTACACACAGGGCCCTGGTAATTGAGCTTCATAACTTTGTGCTTTACTGGCATTTAATATACTTTAATTACCAGTTTTTGTCTTCCCCTAGTTTTTCAATGATGCCAAAGAAGCTACTGATTACTTAAGGAATCTGAAAGATGCCATTCAGCGGAAGTACAGCTGTGATAGATCAAGCAGCATTCACAAGCTGGAAGACCTTGTGCAGGAATCAATGGTACTTGTAGGAAAACCTATGAATTTCATTAGTAATGTAAAGTGGGGACTAGATTAGTTTTTATTAAATTTTTATAGGTGCAGAACTTTATATTTTATTGATACTCTTGATCATTCTACCTCATTCAATCAAGCATTAAACATTCAGTTTTACTATTTTATGGTAACAAATACAAAAAAAAGTATTTTTTATGTGATAGCCTTGATATTTTAAAATATTTTAACAATATTCTATCTGTGCATGTGTGCATGTGTGTGTGGTCATTCATTCACAAATACTTGTTAAGTACTGTCTATATCCTAGGCACAGTTTTAGGTGCTAGAGTTAGAACAGTGAACAAAACAGACAAGCATCTCCACTTGTGGTGCTTATGTGCTAGAGAGGGGAGTAGACATAAACATGATAAATAAGTAGCATATATGTGTATGTTAGATAGTGGTAAAGGCTAAAGAGGAAAAAACAATAAAAGAAAAACAATGGAAGAGAGATTCAAGGCAGGATGGGGAGGGTTTGGAAGTTTAGACAGTGTGGTCCAGAAATACTTTTTTGATGAAGTTTTGTTTATGTAAAGCCCTAAAACAACAGAGAATACAAATCTTTTACCATTTAAAACCCATCTTATTTATTACTTAGGAAGAGAAAGAAGAACTTTTGCAGTATAAAAGCACAGTGGCAAGCCTGATGGGGAGAGCAAAAACAATAATTCAGTTGAAGCCAAGGAATCCTGACTGTGTACTCAAAACTTCTATTCCGATCAAAGCTATCTGTGACTACAGACAAATTGAGGTACTTGTAACTCCCAGAAACAGACCATATTCTGGCATTATTTATATATTTTTTAAATGAGGTCATATTACTTACTAGTAAAGTTTTCCACCTCAAAAAAACAAAAAAAAATCCTAAGGTTGGGTATGTAAAAACAATTAGTCAACAGTGACTTCATTTGATTATTCTGTTCTTCATTTAAAACCAGATAACCATTTACAAAGACGACGAATGTGTTTTGGCAAACAATTCTCATCGTGCTAAATGGAAGGTCATTAGCCCTACTGGAAATGAGGCAATGGTCCCCTCTGTGTGCTTTACTGTTCCTCCACCAAACAAAGAAGCAGTTGACTTTGCAAACAGGTTTGTACACAACAGCTGAAAAACAGAGAGCTGGTTTTGGAAGCCCTCTGAAGGTTAAAGAAATAATCAATACTTTGTCAAGGCCCACAAGATCAGAAGGATTTTGAGCTAGTAAACATGGGGTATTTCACGAACAAAAAGAAAAATTGTAACATGTTTTCAGAGGGAGTGAAAAGGCTTAATCTGTGTTTTCTTACACATATTTCAGAATTGAGCAACAGTATCAGAATGTCCTAACTCTTTGGCATGAGACTCACATAAACATGAAGAGTGTAGTATCCTGGCATTATCTCATCAATGAAATTGATAGAATTCGAGCAAGCAATGTGGCTTCAGTAAGTATAAATCTATACATCAACCTAATCTCTCCAAAAATGTGGGGCATCTTGTCACGAGGGGTGGAGTTTCTCTTTGCTATAGAATAGGATAGAGCCCAAAAGATCCATGCTAATAGGCACTTCTTCAGTGACTATTATTTACATACCTGATATATACCAGGCACTTTCTAAGAATTGGGGAATCTGGAGATCACATATTCATTTCTTACATTTTGATAGAGAGATAAAATATAGTGTTTAGACTTCTATAGATGGGTACAGTTTAATTTCACTTATTAAATTTTATAGTCTTGTTTTTCCTCGTTTTTTAAAACCTTAAACTGTTAATGAAGAAGAATTTAATTCCAAATGGTTCTTCTATTAATGACTGTTAATGTGAAATGGCATATACCCTGAGACTCTAGCTTTAGACCTGTCCCATTTACATTTAACTCTTAGTGTGATAATCACTTAATTATGTGGATCATTTGTTTTCTTTAGATAAAGACAATGTTACCTGGTGAACATCAGCAAGTTCTGAGTAATCTACAGTCTCGTTTTGAAGATTTTCTGGAAGATAGCCAGGAATCCCAAATATTTTCAGGCTCAGATATAACACAACTGGAAAAGGAGGTTAATGTGTGTAAGCAGTATTATCAAGAACTTCTTAAATCTGCAGAAAGAGGTAAAGCATGGGAACCTTTGTCTCCCTACCCTATAATTGTTTAGTCCAGGCTACTTTCTGCTCTTAATGGGAATTTCAGCCTTAGGTATGTTATGTCATTCACCCTGTTATAGGTAGACAGAATTGCTGGAATGTTGAAGACATTTTAAGGTAGGAAGATGCAAGAAGGGATTCATTTATTTCTAAATGATAAATTTATAAAAAGATGCCAGCCAAATAGTATGACAAATGATGAATTCTTAATGCATCTACTTGTCAACATTTTCACTATTTTGCAATAATGTTCAGAATCTTTTCTTTTCAGAAAAGATTCCATTATTTTTTCATTTACCAAACATGAATTTTTTTTAAAAAGACCTTATTTTTCAGAGAAGTTTTAGAGTCACAGCAAAACTGAGAAGAAGGTACAGAGATTTGCCCTTTATATAAGGGTTAAAGGAAAAGATTTTGTCTAGTTAACTTTCATTAAATATAAATTTTATTTCAAACTTTTTAGATATTACTTAGACAAAAACTATATTAGCAATATTCTGTTTAAAATTTTTTTAAACATTAACATTTTTAATCTACCTTTCATTTTTAAGGATTTTAATTTATATTTTATAATTGATCTGCAGCTAATATAATTTATTTTTGTGAACATAAAAGATCAATATATTACTTTCCTGGACATAATAAATTAGAAATTGATATTTCAAATAGCATTAGGGAAATTTTATTAACCTTTTGTAAATTGTAAGGTCACTATTTTAAGGTTTATAACCTTAGGGTTGGTTTGTGATGATGATAACTAGTATTGTTAGTCTGACTTGCAATGTCCTAGTAGTGGTAAAACTGCAATATTAAAACAAGAACAAGAGCATCCAAAAGATGGACAACAAGGTGTTTTCTAAACATTATATTTACTTTCACAGAGGAGCAGGAGGAATCAGTTTATAATCTCTACATCTCTGAAGTTAGAAACATTAGACTCCGATTAGAGAGCTGTGAAGATCGGTTGATTAGACAGATCCGAACTCCACTGGAAAGAGACGATTTGCATGAAAGTGTGTTCAGAATCACAGAGCAGGAGGTGAGATTTATAAATATGATGGGGCAAAAATTAACTTAGGATAAATTACTGCCTTAATGACTATCAACTCCTGTGACTTCTTATATGCTCAACTTTGCCCAGTGGCCACTTTGTGAGGTCTGGTCAGTGATCATAATGGTAAAATGCATGTTTTAAAACTGTTTTAAGAAAGATGCCCCATCCAAAGTAAAAACCTAATACCTATGTTTGTTCTCTGTTTTGTAGAAACTAAAGAAAGAGCTGGAGCGTCTTAAAGATGACTTGGGAACAATCACAAATAAATGCGAAGAATTTTTTAGTCAAGCAGCAACCTCTCCATCAGTTCCGACTTTGCGATCTGAGCTCAGCATGGTCATTCAGAACATGAACCAAGTCTATTCTATGTCTTCCACTTACATAGATAAGTATGTAACCACTGTCTTAGTATGAATTTGCTTCATACAACTGCCATATTTTTTATATATGCTGTTAATTTAAAATACTCATTTTTATGAATATAAGTTTTCACTTTTATTTTTTTCTTAATAACAAATATGTTAAAACATTTCCATGGATATATGATGCATCTTCATGTTAAAAGGGAATGTGCCTCAGAGATTAGAGCATAATGAATAATCATCCCATATTTGCCTATAGTTTTGGTAGCTCTGCTGTAAGGTTTTTCTTTTAAGCCTGGTGTAAACAAGATTTGAAAGAAGACCCTCTTATCTTGGAATATCTTGCTAAAATATCACTTGTGGGTCAGGGAATGGGTTGGAGTACATGCTATCTATTAAAATGAGAGTCAGCTGAATATTAATGTTATAGTAAATGTGTCAGTGTTCCACGACAAAGAACATGCTACGTCATGCCCCGTAATGGTGCTTCAGGACTGCATTATGGGAAAATAAACGTTTACCAATAGAAGGCTATTGTTTAATTCTCTTTATTAGGTTGAAAACTGTTAATTTGGTGTTAAAAAACACTCAAGCTGCAGAAGCCCTTGTAAAATTCTATGAAACTAAACTGTGTGAAGAAGAAGCAGTTATAGCAGACAAGAATAATATTGAGAATCTAATAAGTACTTTAAAGGTATGAGTTTCGCTTTTGGCTACTTTTCAAGATCATACTCTAAAAGTATTTCTCTAGCATTTAGATCTTCAAACATCAACGATTAAATATCTTAATTTTATTATGTTTATATTCATTCCATTTCCTATCTCTGTCATACCATAGCTTACTGCAAATAAGTATGTTCAGGCATTTTCAGTTTGAGGCGAGTACTTCTTTAGTTTGAATCTTCTTAACAGTAGCTTTTTATAATCAATTCATGTTGGCAGCCAGAAGAGTTGAAGTTAAAACTTATGTTATTTCTAATATATTCTTTTGCTGAAAGAGACAGTTATTTTAAAAAATCAAGGAGGTAAGTAGAGGAATTAATCTAAGAAAGGAAAAAGAACTGGTAGTTGTACTCATCTGTATCTGTCTTTCTATATATAAAGCACTGAAAGCACTGAGTAAAACTATTGCAAAACAATCATGAAAAGTTATCTCCATAATCTTTAATGCATATATTCATTTTTAAACAATAAATTAGTAGATATTTAAAAATAAGCAATGAGAAAAACTTACTTATGGAATATATTTTGTTTTATTGATATGCAAATTCTATTAGGCTGAACTTTATAAAATTGTCAAGTTTTTTTTAGATCAAAGTACAGTCAAATATTGTTAGTTTCATAAGGTTCAGTCTAATGTCTTATTTTTGGATATGAAAGATATTCTTTCCTTTATTGGATTTTATCAGTCATTTGTGACTAAATTGTAAAATTAGGTAAATAATGTGTTTTCCCATTTTTATAACTTTCACCAATTAATGTATTTCAGCAATGGAGATCTGAAGTAGATGAAAAGAGAGAGGTATTCCATGCATTGGAGGATGAGTTGCAGAAAGCTAAAGCCATCAGTGATGAAATGTTTAAAACATATAAAGAACGGGATCTTGATTTTGACTGGCACAAAGAAAAAGCAGATCAGTTAGTTGAAAGGTGGCAAAATGTTCATGTTCAGATTGACAACAGGTTAGTATCCTTTTTTGGTTCAGTTTTAGCACAGATTTAATGTCCATCTTTGTGTTCTAGGTAAAATCTAAACTTAGGCATTTAAAAAAAACATTCATATATATAATTCATTTCCACATAATTAATTGTGCTAATTGTGCTATAGCTCTGCCTAATTCTGTTTCTTTCTTATATGGTGGATTTATGTAAGATATTTAGCTTCAAAATAAATATTTTCAACTCTTTGTTATTAATACTATTGATACACTCTGGCACTGGTATAGTTAATCTACTTGCTTTTTTTCTGAAGAGAAAAACAATATAGTTTTCTACTTATTATCAACTTAAAATATTCAAACATAATATTCAAATTGTTGAAAATTATTACCAACTTAGAAGACTTAGTAAGAACGTGGATCATGCATTTGATAGGCTGTATGTAGCCATCTATACTAGACCTAAGAGGTGTAAAGAAAGCATAATGATCTGATGTTCATTTTTATTGAAGATACAGGAACTTTGAAATCATTCACCCAGTGAGTGAAATAAAAAAGTAAGAGGAAATGGGATGTTTTTAGGGCTCAGCTTTAAAAAAAATGAAGTAGTATCGTTTCTCATTCATTTTCATGTCTATACTAATGCAAATAAATATATCTCACCTCAAACATAGATCTCATCTCTATAAAACATGTGATATAGGTTTAATTTACTGATTTTAAAATCATAGAAACTGAAGTGTTTAATCACAACTCTTTGAGTCCATGTTTCATTGAATTACCTTGTCATTTCAAAAGCGAATCGCTATTTGATGCAAGCTTTGAGTATTCAAGACATGCTGATTAATAATTATTATGGTTAAGTTTCCAATTTTCCTGTTTTTTAGCTTTAGTCTCTCGGACTTGTCCCTGGGATAATCAGTTACACAACCCCAGGAGCAAAATATTTAGATTCAGCCTAAGCCAGTGTGGAATTCCCTTGGATATGTACCTCAGGGTACTATAGCTTTGATTTTTTTACACATACCTTTATTGTTGTGCTTAATTCATTGTAGTACGGTTATTTTGTCTCTTCCTTCTTCACTGCACCTTTCACCTTCCTAATGGATACTATTGGAAACTGTGACTATTCTGTTATGATTTTCTTAGGTTACGGGACTTAGAAGGCATTGGCAAATCCCTGAAGTACTATAGAGATACCTATCATGCTTTAGATGATTGGATCCAACAAGTTGAAATTACTCAGAGAAAGATTCAAGAAAATCAGCCCGAAAATAGTAAAACCCTAGCCACACAGTTGAATCAACAGAAGGTATGTAAACATAATTCCTTGTACTAAGGTCATGTCTGCATTTGGTCAGTAATGACCCTTATCTTTCTCCTTCAAAGAAAAAGCCAGCAGCTATTTGGAAGGAGGTAGGGAGTAAATCATAAATATTAAAATCCTGCAATCCAAATGTACATCACTTACTTTGATTTCTTGGAAGTCAGTTTTGAAAGCATAAGGAATAGAATGTTGGGGCAGATTTCAAATGCCTAGTGATAATTTAATCATAGTTATGGAAATTTCTTTGGTGCTCTGCTTGTCACAGTAGTTTTGGGGATCCTAAATAAATAAAAATGGTTCGTGGTAGAAAATTGAACAGCCACATTTGACAAAAAGTTCAGTGCTTTGAGATTTTTGTTCTGTCTTGGTGGCCAGTAATTTCCAGCTCTGTTTTGATCAGGAATGGGTGGGGGCCAAGGGCTTTGAGTCTATTTTTGCATAATTCCTATAGAGTTTAGTAATTTCTGCTTTGAAAGCCCCATATGAGTGGGCCACTTATATAGCTTAATCTGTAAGTTTGTGATTTATCCATAAGGCAAATTACATACTACGTGCTAAGGGCTAAGGAGCTGTACTATTAAATCATGTGGATATTTCTTAGTTTCTGAGCATCTTAACTAGTTGAATAGCATAGATTAGAGTTCTTTGTCATTTTTTCTTCTCAATTGTGTGTATTTATAGATGCTGGTGTCCGAAATAGAAATGAAACAGGGCAAAATGGATGAGTGTCAAAAACACGCAGAACAGTACTCAGCTATAGTAAAGGTAAGAAGATTCAGTTACTTGCATTAGATTTAATATTCAAGTATGTGATTCTCCATTGTACCTTTTTAAAACTTTGGAAAGTCATTTCACTCTGTGTTAAAAAATGGAAACAGAATCTTCATTTGAAACTTTTTACACTTATCTATAATTTTTTGTGATATCTGAGTCACATGAGAACCCCGGGTTCGTTCATTTTCTTCATGTCGCACAGCATGTGCACACATACCCCTCCCCATACACATAAGAGATACAGAACTCTGAAATTCATTTCTTAAATCACTTTGTCTTCTTCCCTCCCTCCCTGCATTAAACAATGCTAGAGTATTTTGTGGAATAACTTCTTAACTTTCCGAGAACTCCTGATTTTTGAAGTCATTAACAATATCTCAGCTTTAGCCATCTGGATCTACAGTTCCATTGCCTAGCTAGAGGAAAGGGAGACTGAATGTCAGTAGCATATTGTACTAATTGTTTCCATGAGTTTCTAAAGAGACTTAGGAACTTTACTGAGCACCCCAAATGTTTCTGATTTTATTACCCCCTTGGAAACATCCCAGGATTGGATAGATTCCTAAAAATGTTGTTTTGCAATATTTTCTTTAAAGTTATTCAGTGAAACTAAGTTCCATTTCTCTGTGTAGAATCCCTATGGAATGAAGCGTTAGTACTTTGCTTTAATTAGTTTAATTTTGTTGATTCCTTTATCCAGGACTACGAATTACAAACAATGACCTACCGAGCCATGGTAGATTCACAGCAAAAATCTCCAGTGAAACGAAGAAGAATGCAGAGCTCTGCAGATCTCATTATTCAAGAGGTAAGAAAAGTGTAATAGAGAAAGGAGAGGGTTTAAAAGAGAGAAACAATACTTTAAAAATTTATTTGTATAGTAAAATATACATAATGGAAAGTTTCCCATTTTAACCATATTTAAGTGTACAATTCAGTGGCATTTAGAACATTTACAATGTTGTGACCACTGTTTGTTTCCAGAACTTTTTCATCATCCCCAAAAGAAACTCTCTACCTGTAATGTTACATTTTATTAAGGGTTTTTTAAAATAAAAAACCATAGAAAAATCTTTATAATTAATTATTAATTGCAGAGAATAATAAATGTACTTCCTGATTAAATTTAGAAGAGAATTAAGCCTACTTAATATTGTAATCATTATTTAACATTTACCCAGCTCGTTTAAGGCAACTGGAGGTTATGTTTTTTATTATTTTTCCCTTACTTGCAGTTCATGGACCTACGGACTCGGTATACTGCTCTGGTCACCCTCATGACACAATATGTTAAATTTGCTGGCGATTCGTTGAAGAGGCTGGAAGAGGAAGAGGTAATCAATAATTATGAACAGCTAAGTAAAAAGAAGTATGTAGCTGTCTGGGAAGACAAAAAAGTTTTCATGATAAATTTACATGGTCGATAGCTGGTATGTAAGTACTAATTTAATTATAAAATTATGGTGAAAAAGTAAAGGCCTAGGAATTTTCGACTTGTTTTAAAGATTTTCTTAAATAGAGAAACATTTTTTTCTTTTTACTCGAGGACTCTAATATGATAGTGTTGATGCCTTTATAAATGGTTGTATTTAAATTATGAAACCTGACACTTTGGCAGAAGTTTTTTCAGTTTCTCAGTTGAAAAGTGTACTTCTTTGAAGTACAGTGACTACTGTTATGATGTCTGTAGATATACTACATAAACACATTTCTTTTATACATTTTAAATTAATTGATATCTTCAAGGATTTAAAACATAAAAGCCATTAATTTAAGAGGTATTTGTACAAAATGATAGTGCTTTTTAAGAATTATGGAGTTTTTTTGTTTGTTTTCATTTTTTTGCCAAAAGGATATGGTATATAGTAAAAAGACTATTTAAGTACCATTCTCATTTGGAGAACTTCTGTGGCTTGGATTCTGCATTTAAAAATATATTCTGAAATAGAAAGAGTAAGGACTTATTTATGAAAATATATTGTCATAAAATGCTATTGTATATCATTTTGAAGGGATTATGCTGTGTTCTATTATCTTGATATACTTTCTATTCCTAACCTCAGAACAGACAAAAATAGTAGATTGAATGATAAAATTAGTAAATCGTGGAGCATTAGCCATTTTAAATTATACTGTTGTTAAAATTCTGAAGATGGTTATACTTAGTATAACTATTCATATAATGAAAGAACCAAAACAGTAGTAAATGTCTAATAGATGTTACCTTCAGTTTCTAAAAATGTGACTGCTTTTGTAAACTATTTTAGTCTGTTCAGTGTTAACAGTTTTCTGCAACTAAATCACTAACATAGCTAATTGCAAGTCTTTATAACTAGCTTCCTTTGTGCTTAGAAAGGAGAAGCAGAATATTTTTTACCATCCTAATAATAGGCGTACACCTCTCATCCGTGAAAGAACATCCATAATTTAAAAAATATTTTTACTTTTTAAGAGATACAATTCCATGTTAAATGGTATGCAAGTCTTTTAAATTGTATGTTTAATAGTTAAATGTAAAATAAAATAATTTAAGTCCTTTTCCTTTCTTGTATACCTGATTGTATATATTTGAGCCACTTTGCTCAATTTATCTGATGAGGCAGAATACTAAAGTTGATAGAACCAAACGATAATTCACAAAGCCTGAATATATAAAAATTATGGTCATCATCCTTTGAAATATAAAAGAATTATAGTTAATTGAAGGTCAAAATAATATGGTTTATGGAAGACCATCCAAAGACTATAATTTAAAATAGATTTTTAAAAATGCCTGAATAAAAATTTACCACTTAAGAATCATATTAATGGAATGTCTTGTCAAAGATATGTAGCTCAGTTTCTAGACTCCAAAGAGTGGTGTTTTTGGAACCGAGTCTGTGAAGACCCACATGAAAAACCGTGGTCTGAGAGTGGCATTTTCCATAACAAACATAAAACCAAAGAGGCATGCAACTTAATTTCAGAAGATAATACCAAATTAGAAATGTAAGTGGAGTATCTGTAATGGATATTAAATGGAGTAAAGAGATTTCCTAGTTTACACTGAGAGCAAAATATATTAAATATTAATTGCTGAGATTAAAGGACAGTGTGTCTCCTTGAAGGAGTTATTTTTGTATGAATAAGTTTGAGATCTATAAGAAAGCCAAGTCGCAATAGGACTAAATTTTTTCTGGTAATTTTTGTAGTATTTGCTAAAAAAAAATCCAGTTATGTAGACAAAATGAGATTATTAACAGTCAGTAAAATAGCTCTAATTAAGATACTGAAGGTTCAACAACAGACATTTTTTTCTGAGAGAATTTTCAGTTTTTTAAACCTCAGAACATGCCTAAGGAAAAAAAGGCTCAAAACTTCTCAGCAACAACTGTTTTAAATGAGATTTGATAGAGAACTGAGAAAGACCCTATTAGAAATCAACTACTGAAACATTTTTGAAAATTTAATGTTTAAGCCAATAAAATGCTTCAGGGTCAGGGTCAACTCTTAGTTGACCTGATAACAAAATAAAGAAAATAGAGCACTAAGTATTGCAGCTTGTGATGAGATTTGTTTTATATTAATTTTTATTATAAATCATATTTAGTTTAGCAAAGGAAACAACTGAAATTTTTGTCACAATTATTGGGCATCAAGAAATTAGAGGAAGGAAAATAAGATATATAGTCTATAGGTAAATTTAATTATTGAAATTCACCAAAGCTACTCAATTAAAAAAAAATCTATCTAGAATATATCTCTACTCCTGTTTAAATTGTTTCTAATGGTGGTGATTTTGAGTTGATGATATGAAGCTAACAACCTTATGGTATTAACAAAGAGAAATTGAATTGTAATTAAAAGCCAGCCCTGATCATATAGTTCTGTAATCAATGCAGAGTGTACTCCTCCCAGCTGAAATTGATTCTATCATTAACAGAGTAAAACATTTTTCTTATATTTTATTCTATACATTGGAGCGGAATCCCTAAGTATATTTAAAAAATATTTATATTTAACAAATATCTTTATATTTATGGAGTATCTAAAGGTACTCATCAAGGTGGATTCATATGAGGCATGTCATTAACAACAGCAACAAAAATCTGTGAGTATATGAAGCACATCTTTTTTAAAGCGAGCAGGAACAATAGCTGCCTTTGCATTAGCAAGTCTAGTTATAATTGTCGTAATATGGCAAGTATAAACAGGTAAGAAATTTGACTTTAGAAATGAGAAGTTTTTGTATAATTTTTATCCTTCCCCATGTTAAGTATTATTTCCTGATTCGGCTCTCTGTTCCAAAGTTCTGTATTTTTTTTTAACCGTACAACAGAGGGATGTAAACATTATTATTTTTTTAAATTTCCATTGAGCTGTATGTTGACAACTAAATTCTTTATTGTCATTTGATTCTTATCTGTTGTATGTTCTTCTGAGCTTTTAGGACTAAGTTCTGTGTGAGAGCAGAAAGAGCACTGTTGTGAAAGTTTTAGTTCCCACTTCATCATTTTTAACCTCTCTGTACCTCAGTTTCCTCATCTGTAAAAGGTTGGGATCGTGCTATATGTCGTTAGGTCCCTTCTTGATTTAGAATCCTGACTAGCTAATTTTTGAAACAAAATTAGTCTTGAGAGACAAAAAAAAAAAGAAAAAGAATCTTCAGTTTAGAAAACTTAGTTTTTGTCTTCTCCTATTGCTGACTTTCTGAAGCTTCCTCTATGAAGAAGGTGGTGGTGGTGATGGTGGTGATGGTGGTGATGGTGGTGGTAGCACTTATTCTGCATTTGGGTTCACTTGTTCTTGTAAGTTCTTTTATGAGCCTCGCTTCATATTTTTAAAGATAAATTTGAATAGAACAGATTTGACACTTTAAATATCTCTTATAGATTAAAAGGTGTAAGGAGACTTCTGAACATGGGGCATATTCAGATCTGCTTCAGCGTCAGAAGGCAACAATGATTGAGAATAGCAAACTTACAGGAAAGATAGGTGAATTGGAGAGAATGGTAGCTGAACTAAAGAAACAAAAGTCCCAAGTAGAGGAAGAACTTCCAAAGGTCAAGGAGGCTGCAAAAAATGAATTGAGAAAGCAGCAGCGAAATGTAGAAGACATCGCTCTGCAGAAAATCAGGGCTGAAAGCGAGGCCAAGCAGTACCGCAGGGAACTTGAGACCATCGTGAGAGAGAAGGAAGCTGCGGAGCGGGAGCTGGAACGGGTGAGGCGGCTTACGGCAGAGGCCGAGGCCAAAAGGGCGGCCGTGGAAGAAAACCTCCTGAATTTCCGGAACCAGTTAGAAGAAAACACCTTTACAAGGAGAACACTGGAAGATCATCTTAAAAGAAAAGATTCAAGTCTCAGCGACATGGAGCAACAAAAAAATAAGTTAATGGAAGAATTGAAAAGAAAGAGAGACAATGAGGAAGAACTCTTGAAGCTGATAAAGCAGATGGAAAAAGATCTAGCATCTCAGAAACAGATAGCAGAGAAACAGTTGAAAGAGAAGCAGAAAATTGAGTTGGAAGCAAGGAGAAAAATAACTGAAATTCAGTATTCATGTAGAGAAAATATGTTGCCAGCTTGTGCCATCACATACAAGGAGCACGACAAACAGAAAGCAGAAGAACTCAAACAGCAGGTAGATGAGCTAATAGTCGCCAATAGAAAGGCTGAAAAAGACATGAGAGAGCTGAAGTATGAACTTAATGCCCTCCAGCTTGAAAAAACTTCATCTGAGGAAAAGGCTCGCTTGCTAAAAGAAAAACTAGATGAAACAAATAATACACTAAAGTGCCTTAAGTTAGAGTTGGAAAGGAAGGACCAGGTAGAGGAAGGGTATTCTCAGCAGCTCCGAGAACTGAGTCGGCAGTTGAACCAAACCACAGATAAAGCTGAAGAAGTCATGCAAGAAGCTAATGATCTTAAGAAAATAAAGCACAATTATGAAGCAGAATTAGAATCTCTTCAACAGGAAAAAGGGAAACTGCAAAGAGAAGTAGACAGAATCACTAGGACACATGCTATAACTGAGCAGAGTATTCAGCATTTAAATTCACAAGTTAATTCTTTTCAGGGTGAGAAGGAATTCTCTAATGAAAGAATGCAGTTCTGTCAGAGAAAATCAGATCATCTAAGAGAACAATTTGAGAAAAGCCATGCGCAGTTGCTTCAAAATATTAAAGCTGAAAAAGAAAATAATGATAAAATCCAAAAGCTTAATGAAGAATTGGAGAAAAGTAATAAGTGTGCAGAAATGCTAAAACAAAAAGTAGACGAGCTTACCAGGCAGAATAATGAAACCAAAGTAGTGATGCAGAGAATTCAAGTGCAATCGGCAAATGTGGTTTTAGAGAAACAAGCTATCCAGCAAAGATGCGAAGCGCTGAAGATTCAGGCAGATGGTTTTAAAGATCAGCTACGCAACACGAATGAGCACTTGCATAAACAGACGAAAACAGAACAGGATTTCCATAAAAAAATTAAGTGTCTAGAAGAAGACCTGGCCAAAAGTCAAAACTTAGTAAGTGAATTTAAGCAGAAGTGTGACAAGCAGAACATTATCATCCAGAATACTGAGAAAGAGGTTAGAAATCTGAATGCTGAGCTGAGTGCTTCCAAAGAGGAAAAACGACTGGGGGAGCAGAAAGTACAGCTACAGCAAGCTCAGGTGCAAGAGTTAAATAACAAGTTGAAAAAGGTACAAGATGAACTTCACTTAAAGACCATAGAGGAGCAGATGACCCACAGAAAGATGGTTCTGTTTCAGGAAGAATCTGAAAAATTTAAACGTTCCGCAGAGGAATTTCGGAAAAAGATGGAAAAATTAATGGACTCTAAAGTTATCACTGAAAATGATATTTCAGGCATCAAGCTTGACTTTGTATCTCTTCAGCGAGAAAACTGCAGAGCTCAGGAGAATGCTAAGCTCTGTGAAACAAATATTAGAGAACTTGAAAGACAGCTTCGACAATATCGTGAGCAAATCCAACAAGGGCAGAATGTGGAAGTGAATCATTACCAGAAATGTCAGAAACTTGAAAAGGAGCTGGTGGCCCAGAAACATGAAGTTGAATACCTGAAGCAAAAAATGGATCAACAGGTAAAGGAACATGAACATCAGTTAGTTTTGCTCCAGTGTGAAATCCAGAAAAAGAGCCCAGCCAAAGACTGTACCTTCAAACCAGATTTTGAGGTGGCAGTGAAGGAGCGTCAACACTCGGGAGACCTCTCTTCTAGGAACACAGGGCAGCTTCAGCCAACGGCCAGATCGCCTCTGCTGAGATGGGCCCAAGAACCACAGCAGTCGGAAGAAAAATGGCAACATCGGGTTGAACAGATACCCAAGGACGTCCAGCGCTGGCCATCAGGGCCTGCACTGGAGAGAGAGAAAAGCCAGCAGTGTTACTCTGAGTATTTTTCTCAGACAAGCACCGAATTACAGATAACTTTTGATGAGAAAAACCCTATTTCAAGACTATCGGAAATAGAGAAGATAAGAGATCAAGCTCTGTACAATTCCAGACCACCTGTTAGATGTCAAGAAGACAAATGTGAAACAGACCTGGTGAAGCTTTTGGCACCCTTAGAGGTATAGTCTGGATTCTGAGTCCTTATCAGCTACCTCATGTCAAGTTTCCTTTCGTTTCCTTTCTCTGCTAGACCAAATTGTTTAACAATGTTAAGTGTGATTGTTGGCTCTTTGTTGTTCTGACAGAAAATAATGCTATAATTTTCTAGAGATTTACCTGAATCTTTACTAAAAATTATCAATCTTTAATTTTTAAATAATTCCGGTTTAACAGATATAACAGTTCTACTGTTATAACTATGGGATTATATTCTGAAAAATATGACCGTAAAAAAAAAGCTAGAAAAACCAGGCAGTTAACTTTAATTTCTAGCACATCCTCTGGGCAAATTTTATCTCAGTCTTTTTAAAACATGCTGTTTTAATACCTTAATTGTCATCTGAAGTTACCTTTAGACTCTCAGAATAGTATTGCTTGTTCCTGAACCTTCTTTGGTTTGAAAACTTTATCTTCTTTACTTGTCTCATCTTTGTCATTCTAGAAATTATATTTGGATTAAGAATGGGTAAAGTGATTTAAGGTTCTTTAGGTGACTTTTAACATCTTATAAATTCCTGTTACAGATAGCTAAGAACAAGCAATATGATATGCATACAGAAGTTACAACATTAAAACAAGAAAAGAACTCAGTTTCCAGTGCTGAAGAATGGATGCTTGAAGGGTGCAGAGCATCTGGTGGACTCAAGAGAGATTTTCTTAAGAAAGGCTTAGAACCAGAGACCTTCCAGAACTTCAGCGGCGATCACGCATGTTCGGTTAGGGATGATGAATTTAAATTCCAAGGGCTCCGACACACTGTGACTGCCAGGCAGTTGGTTGAAGCTAAGCTTCTGGACATGAAAACAATTGAGCAGCTGCGACTTGGTCTTAAGACTGTTGAAGAAGTTCAGAAAACTCTTAGCAAGTTTTTGACAAAAGCCACCTCAATTGCAGGGCTTTATCTGGAATCCACGAAAGAAAAGATTTCATTTGCCTCAGCAGCCAAGAAAATCATAATAGACAAAATGATGGCTTTAGCATTTTTAGAAGCTCAGGCTGCAACAGGTTTTATAATCGATCCCATCTCAGGTCAGACACATTCTGTTGAAGATGCCATCCTTAAAGGAATTGTTGACCCCGATTTCAAAATTAGGCTCCTTGAGGCAGAGAAGGCAGCCCTGGGATATTCTTGTTCTTCTAAGACATTGTCAGTGTTTCAAGCTATGGAAAATAGAATGCTTGACAGACAAAAAGGCAAACACATCCTGGAGGCCCAGATTGCCAGCGGGGGCATCATTGACCCTGTGAGAGGCATTCGCGTACCTCCAGAAATTGCTCTGCAGCAGGGGTTGCTAAATAATGCCATCCTACAATTTTTACATGAGCCATCAAGCAACACAAGAGTTTTTCCTAATCCCAATAACAAGCAAGCTCTGTATTACTCAGAATTACTACGAATGTGTGTATTTGACGTAGATTGCCAGTGCTTTCTGTTTCCTTTTGGGGAGAGGAACATTTCCAATCTCAATGTAGCGAAAACTCATAGAATTTCTGTAGTAGATATTAAGACAGGAGCAGAACTGACTGCATATGAGGCTTTCCAGAGAAACTTGATTGAAAAAAGTACGTATCTTGAACTCTCAGGGCAGCAGTATCAGTGGAGGGAAGCCACGTTTTTTGAATCCTATGGGCATCCTTCTCGTATGCTGACTGATACTAAAACAGGATTACAGTTCAATATCAATGAGGCTGTAGAGCAGGGAACAATTGACAAAGCATTGGTCCAAAAGTATCAGGAAGGCCTCATCACACTTACAGAACTTGCCGATTCCTTGCTAAGTCGATTAGTTCCCAAGAAGGATTTGCATAGTCCTATTGCAGGGTATTGGCTGACTACTAGTGGAGAAAGGATCTCTGTCCTAAAGGCCTCCCGCAGAAATTTGATCGATAGAATTACTGCCCTCAGATGCCTGGAAGCCCAAGTCAGCACAGGGGGGATAATTGATCCTCTTACAGGCAAAAAGTACCGGGTGGCCGAAGCTTTGCATAGAGGCCTCGTTGATGAGGGGTTTGCCCAGCAGCTGCGACAGTGTGAATTAGTGATGACAGGGATTGGCCATCCCGTCACTAGCAAAGTGATGTCAGTGGTGGAAGCTGTGAATGCAAATATCATAAGTAAGGAAATGGGAATCAGATGTTTGGAATTTCAGTACTTGACAGGGGGGTTGATAGAGCCACAGGTTCACTCCAGGTTGTCAATAGAAGAGGCTCTCCAAGTAGGTATTATAGATGTCTTCCTTGCTACAAAACTCAAAGATCAGAAGTCATATGTCAGAAATATAATATGTCCCCAAACAAAAAGAAAGTTGACGTATAAAGAAGCTTTAGAAAAAGCCGATTTTGATTTCCGCACGGGGCTTAAGCTCTTAGAAGTATCTGAACCCTTGATGACAGGAATTTCTAGCCTCTACTATTCTTCATAATGGGATACGTTGAAATAATTTTGCACAGGGGCGATGCTCTCTCATTCGTGTGATCTGTCCAGAGCATGATGCTATCAGTTGAATACACAGTCTAGTAATTGTGTCACTCACTCAAAGTGCTATTTATTTCTGGAGGGGTGAGAATAGTTGACTGTTCACAAGAAAGAATAATTTTTAAGTTGAAATTAAGAAAAGATTTACTGCTCTTAAAATGGTTCCATTTAGCTTTGAGATTCATAGTTTTTAATCTTGCCCGCACTAAAATAAAAGTACAGTACTTCAGATATGGGGTAAGCCTGAACTCCAAAAGAACTCTTCATCACTGGATAGATCCACCCTGATGTTAGGATTCCCATTTATTAAACGATCCATTACACTCACTGAAAAAGCACTTCAAAAAGCACTATGGACTCAAAGAGAGAGATGTAAATTCTTTCCCACATCCCTCAGGCTATAGTGTCTCAGATTGCCTTGAAAAATGAAAAAGTTTTTCATTTTCCTATATATAGTAACCTTCTTTACATATTAAATGTTAACCTTCTTTACATATTAAATGTTTACCACAATCTCTCATTTCTAGTTAGACTTTGCACTTAAAAGCAGCATTATGAATGGATTGTGTGTTGGAAGAGGAGGATTTTTCTTCATTCCATGTATTTTTCATATATGTGTACACATTCTCTATTTCAGCTTTCCATTGTTTTATATTTTTCTGTCCAGACAATTGTGACTGTAATGCTAATGCAAAGGCAGCAATTCAAAGTTTGATCTTCTAGTGCTTCGTGAATAAAATTGAGGTATTTTATTTGTCGTCTTGATTTACCAGCTGGGAGGTTAGACAGCTCATTAAGGAATGATCATGGCTTCCTTTGATACCATAAACATTTCGGAAGTACATCTGCTATGTGACATAATAAACGTGGTTAAATGAATGAATAAAAGATCTCAGTAACCTGTGTGTGGTGAAAACACATTTTTACATTCTTATTTTCTGTGGAGAGGGCAGTTTAATAGCTTGGTCATTGACTATAATATGTTTTTTACTACTCACACCTGTCAGAAGTCACTGGAAGAAGAAAAGAAAGAGCATGTTGAAAAAGCCAAAGAATTACAGAAATGGGTATCAAATATCAGCAAGACACTGAGAGATGGAGAGAAGGCTGGAAAGTCTCCCTTCTCTAAGCAAAAGGTATTCAATGAGGTCCTGGTTAATAATAATAGTGGGTGGAATTTACTGAGATGATACAGTCCACCTAAATGTTTAATTCTTTACCTTGTTCCTCCCCATTTTTATAGGCAATTATAAATGAAAATCAAAGAGATTAAGTAACTTGCCCAATAAATCACAATATAGTCCAAAACCTTAACTATATATACTAGTCTTGTTATTAGTATACTAATATGTCGTGCTGCTTTTCCTCATAGTTAGATCTGCTCCTTGATTACTATGATGAGAATTGCCAAAGAGTAGAGTTATCCTCTTTTGTGCCCAGAGTAAATCCACACACTGTATCATAAATGTATGCAGTCTCATTCTTATCAATGTAAACAAAAACTTTCAAGAATTACAAAAATACAAACCTAAGATGTTAACATTTTTGAGGATTGAGCTTAGTTGTGTCTTTCTGGACCTTTTCTAATTTATAAAGAAGTGTTTTCCAGTCAATCGCTGGAAATTCTAGATTGTTGCCCTTTCCTATATGAATTTTTTAGTTAATTTCTTAGCTATCTTCTGTACCCCAACTACTTGGCATTAGCTGGATAGCTCCGGCTCCTGAAGTGTCAGTGCTCCATGGTATTAGTTGGACTGCCTCTACTCAAAGCTCTATGGGCATTGATTGTTAAGGTATAAATTTCAGTATTGCTGCTGCTGCTACTAGTGATAGCGCATGAATTGCTGCTTTATTTTTTAAATTTTCTATTAAGAAATTAAGCAGCATTTTTCTCAAAAACTTTTTCTGCACTGCCCTCCTTCCCCTGCCTGACCTTTGGAAATGATAGAGGCTATTATTAACTATCATTAGTTTCCCCTTCTAGCTCAGCATCAGTACTCACTTATCATCATTTGACAGATATTATTGACATAATTAAATAGGGGAAAACTTCAGTGTCTTGTCTCATTTTCCCTATGATATGAGGTACTTCATCTGGAGCTCCCCCTTGAAGAAGTTTTCAGACCTGAGTATATACCTGAATTGTTCAATTGAAATAAAGCCATATTAGCTCACAGTCTTGTGTGCTATATTTCACATAGTATAGAAGAAAGGAGAAGTTGGAAAGCAGTTACATTTGATGTTTTGAACGAAATCCTTCAGTTATTCCATGTAAATATTTAGTTTAAAATATCCTCTTCCACCCCCCTCCCCCACCTGCCTTGTCAAATAGGAAAAGAACTAAAATAGGGACGTAAACATTAGCAAGGAATTCTTAGGAGAGCAAGTTTCTTTTGAGAACAGTAGATTATAAACCTTTGATATTTTTTCATTCTGTACTTTTTAAGTCTCCAAAATTTTACTAGATTTGTTTTAGACCTAGTAGATGTAAAATAAAATACTTTTTAAATGCAGATTGCGAACTAAATTTAAAAAAATCTCTAACATTTGATCTCTCAAAGGAATTGAAGGCAGCTTGATATGAATAATAAATGTTTTTCAAAATATCAATATGAATTTATTATTACCTATGACCATGAAAAGTATACTTTAAATTGACTCTAGAATCCATCAGGGGATACCTTTTCATTGGCCTATCATTTACTCTCATTTCTGCTTCTTTAAAAGAATGGCAATTTACTTCTGGTATTAGGCATTCAGAAATGATATACTAAGGAATTAGAGGAAAGTGTTAACAGCTTCCTTTAAACAGTTCAGTTTTATTCTTCTGACCATCACAGGCAATTTTCGCTAGTGAAAGTCTTAGCAGTAAAAATTATTTAGTCTTGATCTGCAGACCTACAGATTCATACTGTCACCATAATTTTTTTTCAAAAGAAGCATTGTATCTGGAGCTTGGAGGAAGATACACTTTAGGAGTAGGGTTCCTCATTCACGAATATTTTTGTGTACTGCGTTGCACAAGGATGACATTAGGCCAGTGCTTAACCTCTGGCCACCTGGGGTGTTAAGGCAACCTCTATTTATGGTTGGGTTGGGAGAAATACAAAGACCATATAATGCTGTATTACTTCCTCGTGAAAATGATGATATTATGGTTAGAGAGAGGTTTTCCTTAATCATGCATTCTAAATATAAAGTATTCTTATTACCCAGGCCTATAGGCTGATAATAAATAATGGGTTCTTGAGTTGGGTCACCTAGAAAATCATCCTCATTTGGGTCTTAATGAGAACTTGATTAATTTTTTAAAGTTACTATTGTCTAGTCTTTATTTTTTTTAATGCCTACAGTACCTGGTATTCCATGGTGATCTCCCATTCAAGTACTAACCAGGCCTGACCCTACTTAGCTTCCAAGATCAGATGAGATCAGGCACGTTCAGGGTGGCATGGCCATAGACCTGTTGTCTAATCTTTACAAGGGGAGAGTTTGAATATGTTTTCCTCACCTTGCAGATTTCCAGTGAAGAAATACTAACCAAGAAGGAACAATTATCTGAGGCACTTCAAACCATGCAGCTATTTTTGGCTAAACATGGAGACAAGTAAGTTGGTTTTCATTAGCTCTTTTATTTGATGTAGGGAAGTGGTCTTAAAAACGTTCAGCAAAATGGAAGAGGGTAAATTTTAGTTGAGATTTTTAAAATGGAACTCAATAACAAATTTACCAAGTGATGTAATAACATAAGATTATAAAGTTAGCGATTTTATTGTCACTTGTAGTCACTTGTAGTCTTTACCAAAAACCTGAAATGTGCTTATTATCCCCACATATTACTGATAAGAAAACAGGCTCAGAGAGGTTTAGGATCAATAGCAGGTGAGTTGTGAGGACTTCAAGCCAAGTCTCAATACTAAGTAGTACTCTGAGATGTACCTTTTGGAAAATGTGTGTAAATATGTTCTTTATTTGCTTAGCTGAGACCTGTGGCAACCTGATTTCTCATATTTTGTTCCTACTTTATGTAATACGGCACTTTCTGTATTTTAGCTAATACCTCAGGCAGGGAAGGAATCTCCCCTTTTCTTGAACCTTTTTCGGCTGTCCTCCTTAGGATTATTCCGTAATGACTTTGTACTGTACCTTAGAGAATCAGGTTAATTTCCTTGTAAATATTCTCTTTATTCATCCTTTGGCTTAAACAAGTTTCATCTGGAGTAATGGTACCTCACTATCCCTTTTTCATGTTGGGCTAACAATGGGATTATTCCCTTTTGTTAATTTAGAAACTTGTATATACTTGGGAGGTGCTGCTATATTAGTTTATACCCTATCCTTCAGTCTCTTTTTTTGGCAAGAAAGGATTCCTAGATGTATTCAGGGCCATCTTTAATTTTCATGTACAGCCATATTCTAAGACCTAAGCAATCTGTCTCTGAGGTTTTATTTTATTTTATGACTGTATACTTATTTAGAAGAGTATTCTATGTTATAAAATCATCGAGCCTAATATGTCATTTTTAGCACTTGAAGGTTTGCATTCCTCTTTTCATTCTTTCTGGTTATTTTAGAATGACAGATGAAGAAAGAAATGAATTGGAAAGACAAGTGAAAACTCTTCAAGAAAGTTATAATTTATTCTTTAGCGATTCTCTGAAACAACTACAAGAATCACAAACCATAGGAGATATAAAGGTAGAGGAGAAGGTAATATTTTTTTATTTAAAACATGAAGCTGTTTCAAGATTCTCAGTTTTATTGCATGATTGTAGGATTATATATCCGTAGTAAAGAAATGGCTTTGAATTATGTCCATAGAAAAAACATGGATGGTTTATTTAAGTATTTGGAGATTTTAATGTCGTTTATTAAATGCGATCTTACACTTGCTGTCATCTGTTTCTGTGACATCTTAATCTCTGCCTTGCATGGTAAAAGAAAAGAATCATTCATTTTTCTAACTCTCCTCTTTAAAAGCCATTCTTCTGCTGCTACATTAGGTATTTTACAGATGTTGTAAAATAGCTGGAGTCATCTCTAAAGGTGACATTGGAGTGTTATGGGATTTGTTTGATTTTCAGAGATATCCATGAAATTTATCTGAGTAATACTGGGCCGTGTGCTATAGTGAGGATGTCCTAATATCTTGTTAAAATATAACAGAAATCACTTAAAATTTGGCCTGTCCTTAAACTTTTGTAACTTGATAATACACAGTCACAGTATTCAACACAGTATTCAGTATTCAAAAAGTTATCTCTCTATTCATTTCCCTTACTCCTGGAATACTTTATACATTATTTGTCATATTTTGGGGGTATGCAACAATTTTTCTGGTTCATTAGTTTTCGACTTCTGAGGAAGTCTGTATGCTGTAAACATCAATAGCATGGGGTCTGATACTCTTTTTCATGTTAGTAGACTAATCTCATCCAATTGCAGAAAGCATGATGGCCTTCTAGGTATGTGTTCTGTTTTCTCACTATCATCATTTACTCTGTTGTGTCCTCACTAACCTTGTTAATGTACACAATATTAAGTTTTCAATTCACAGATGCATGTTGTTTTCAAAGCTTTTATCACATCCTGTGCTGTTGAATAGATCACTGACATAGATCACTTGTGCATTTGAGCTGCCTAACATTCACAGCATTGCCGCGCCTTGGTAAGTAGAGGATTTTTATGTTGAAGAGCATTTATTTTAAAAAAATGCAAACTAAGTTTCAAGAAACTCTGCCCACCCTTGAATCGCAGACTGACCTGAGAATTTTGTATTTCTTTTCAGCTGGATAAAGTGATTGCAGGCACCATTGACCAGACAACTGGAGAAGTTCTTTCAGTCTTTCAGGCAGTTTTAAGAGGCCTCGTTGACTATGACACAGGAATCAGGTTGCTTGAGACACAGCTCATGATTTCTGGCCTAATTTCACCAGAATTAAGAAAGTGCTTTGACCTCAAAGGTGCTGAAAGTCATGGCCTCATTGATGAACAAGTTCTGTGCCAACTTACAGAACTAAATCAAGCGAAGGAGATTATTTCTGCTGTATCACCTAACACAATTCCAGTGCTGGATGCTCTGACTCAAGGCGTGATATCAGAATCCATGGCCATCAGAGTTCTTGAGATACTGCTTTCTACAGGCTTTCTAGTTATTCCAGCTACAGGAGAACAGTTGACCCTACAGCAGGCTTTCCAGCAGAACTTGGTTTCCTCAGCATTATTTTCTAAAGTCCTGGAAAAGCAAAATATGTGCAAAGATCTTATTGATCCATGTACCTCTGAGAGGGTGTCTTTAATAGATATCATACAAAGAAGTATTTTACAGGAAAACGCTGGGATGCGGCTTCTACCTGTCAGATCACAAGAAGGAGGCAGAATAACATTAAAATGTGGAAGAAGCATTAGCATTCTGAGGGCGGCTCATGAAGGTCTCATAGACCGTGAAACCATGTTTAGGTTATTAGGTTCACAGCTTCTTTCCGGAGGTCTGATCAATTCCAACTCTGGCCAGAGAATGACCGTTGAAGAAGCTATGGCAGAAGGGGTGATTGACAGAGATACTGCTAACAGTATTCTAACATATCAGGTTCAAACAGGTGGAATCATCCATTCAAACCCTGCTAAACGTTTAACTGTAGATGAAGCAGTCCAGTGTGATTTAATAACTTCGAGCAGTGCTCTTTTGGTACTAGAGGCTCAGCGAGGCTACGTTGGACTCATTTGGCCTCACTCTGGTGAAATATTTCCCACATCTTCTTCCTTGCAGCAAAAATTGATTACAAATGAATTAGCATACAAAATCTTGGATGGTAGGCAGAAAATAGCTGCTCTTTATATTCCAGAAACTTCTCAAGTCATTGGTTTGGATGTTGCTCAGCAACTAGGAATTATAGATAATGACACAGCATCAATTTTAAAAAACATAATACTTCCTGATAAAATGCCCGATTTGGGAGATTTAGAAGCTTGTAAAAATGCCAGAAGATGGCTCTCTTTTTGTAAGTTCCAACCATCTACAGTCCATGATTACAGGCAAGAAGAGGATGATTTTGATGGAGAAGAGCCAGTGGCAACGCAGAGCTCAGAACAAACTAAAAAATTATTCCTGTCTTATTTGATGATAAATAGCTATATGGATGCAAACACCGGGCAGAGACTTTTGCTGTATGATGGAGACTTGAATGAGGCTGTTGGTATGCTACTCGAAGGCTGTAGTGCAGAATTTGATGAGGACACACCCAGAAAAGAATGTATTGATGTCTTAAGACTGCCTGGTGTATTTCTGAATAATACCCCAAGTAAAGAAAAAGGTGAAAGTATAACTTCACCAAGCAGTTTTGATAAATGTCATTGCAGAGAACCTAAACATAAAGAAATCCCTGAAAATACCTTAGATGAAGAGTTTAATGAAATGGAAAATAATGTTTTCAGTAGTGAATTTTATCAGTCAGAAAAGCTGGCAAATACAATAGCAACAGATAATATAGTTAAGAATTCATCCAGTATGAATGTTCCCAATTCTATTTCATATTTAACACAGCCTGGACTTGCAGACATTAGCATGTTTAGACAAGACTCTGAAAACATACCTAGAAATGGTAAAAGTCAAAGTCAAGTTGAAACAAAAGAACATGAACATGTAGATGAATGTAGTCATTCTAAAAACATTCGAAAATTTGCAAGTGATTTGATAACAGATTCTATTGTGAAATCAAAAACTAGGAGAAGCTGTGATTTTAATGAAACAGAGATTGAAGATAATATAAACAAGGATACAAGTATCTTTGACTACTCCCCCAGGCTGAGTGCCTTGTTAAATCAAGATAAATTAAGGAATGATAAGGGAAGTTTTAAAGATGTACACACCACAGAGAGCAATGGAAATAAATGTGAAGTCTCTACATTGCCATCCGATGACCAAACCATGTTATGGGGTCAAAGAATGGGAGAAAAATTTCATGACCAGTTTCTGGGAATTGCACCCATAAACATCAGTTTACAGGTAGAACAGAAATGTGGACAGAAATCTTTAAATATTGGTTATAGTGATCTTCAGGTACAATATCACAATGATAAATATGTTTCAGATACTTACGGTGAAGATGAAAAAATGCATGTTGCTTCTCAGGAGAAACTTGAAGACAAGCAAAATGAGTCCAAAGAGAACTCCTGTGCCATAGCTTCAAGGGGTGACAATGATAATGCCAACGCATCTCAGGTGTGTGCCACATCATTGCTTAAAGAAACTGTCAGTGCTGGTGACTATGAAACGTCACTACTGGATGATCACCAGAGTGACACAGAGACAGACACTGATAGCGATGATGATTTTTATGATACTCCCTTGTTTGAAGATGATGACCATGATTCTCTACTTCTTAAAGATGATGATTGTGATTGTCTGCAACCTGAGGACTATGATATGCTGCAGAAGGAAAACGATGGGGCTGCTTCTCCTGGTGATGTTTTTTATGATGTTTTAAAAGAGAAGGAAAATTCTGTGGTGATCCAGGGGGGACTAATTGATAGCTTAAGTGTAAGGGGAAAAGCACAGTCTCTTCAGGATTTTGTCATAGGTACTGAGAAAGCTGAATTAGATCCCGGTGAAAGAATACATTCAAATTCAGTTGGCTTATACAAGGTCAATGAACAGTTGCTGGAAATAGTATCAGAAAGGGAAAATGCAAATAACCTTGTGGGGGCTGAGTCTGACTTATTGACAGATTATGAAATTATAAGAAGAAAAGAGAACTTCAGTGCTTCATTAAAATGTGATGACGCTGGCTGTTGGAGAGAGAGAAAAGAGTATGTAACTGGACAAGAATTGAAATCTGATACTGATCATTTAGATACTATGCAAAATGAACAAAGTTATGGGGATTATGTATATGACAGTAATCAGGATGATGATGAATATGATGATGATGATAAAGAAGAAGGAGTAGGAGATGAGAATGAAAAGCCCATGTGCCGAGATGAGGCTGAAGGTATGGATATCCAGTTGTGTGAGAAGAAGACCAGCCATGAATATCAAAGTATTGATAAAATGATTCTTGTGGATAAAAAGCACAATTACAGTTCTTTAGAAAAACAGCAAAGTGTAGATGTTTTACAACTAGAATCAAGTAGTAAAAGTAGCTTAGTTACTGAAAGAAGCCATCTTCCAGAATATACAACTGATTTTGTTAGTAAAAGCAAAGAAAATCTGTTGAATCATGAGATGGCCCTTAAGGATATATTGCTGCCTATCAATAAAGACACTGAATCAGAACACATCCTTGGCCCTGTAGGTATTTTACATAATACCAATATCACTTTAACTTCTGAATTAGGTGATGATCTAATGAACATAAAGGTTAAGTTGATTCAAGGGCCAGAATCTGCTGACTCTGTGAAAGATAATCAATATTTTGAGAATGTGATGCAACAAGTTGACTCATCTTTTGATAAAATCATTTATTCTGAGCCAGATTTAATAAGAAAACCTGCCGAGGAAAGCCATTCGTCATCCTCTGCCTCTGTACCTGTTAAAGATCATCAAGGGAATGGAAAAGAGCTACTTAAAAAGGGAGATGACAAAAACAATATATTAATAGAAGATGAAACATCAATTCATAAAATTTGCTCAGGTAAAGGAGAAAGGCTTACAGAACACCTAATAGAAGATAATAAAAATCTCAAACTTTTACCTAGTGAAAGTACAAGTGAGTGTCATGATTTAGTTAATAGTCAGTTTCCATTTCCACAAATCACAGACAGTGAAGAACATAATCAGAAAGGAAGCCTTAAAAAAGCAACTGTAACTCTTAAAGATGAACCAAAAAGTCTACAAACAATAGTTAGTAAAAGTCCTGTCCAATTTGAGAATCTTGAAGAAATATTTGACTCATCGGTTTCCAAAATGATCAGTGACATTACTTCAGACATTACATTGTCTCAAGGGAATACAAGTACTGAGAAAGATTTACTAACTGACGGACCTGAGAAAGAGCTTAATCTGTTTACTTATTTAAAACATTGTGCAAAACATGTAAAAGCAGAAGACATACTGAAACCAAATGAAGATAACCCAAGCTGTACTCTAATAGCTTCCCCTCCCATGAAAAAACACTTACAATTAGGAGTTGATACTGCAAAAGAGAAGGCCACCCTTACCCAAGAAGATTTACCTCTGAATGAGATGATTCCACGGAATGATCTCTGTACTAAAGAAGATCTCTCAGAAGGAGGGATGGATATTCCTCAGTTCACACCAGAAAGGCATGAGAGCACACTTTCAATTTTACCTCTTAGAAATGTGGAAGACCTTGGGGAAAATACTGACTTTGTATCATCGGGACTCTGTGCAAAAGGAATAAGTAACACTTTAAGCACTGACTACTCATTCTTAGAAATTAACAAAAAGAAAGAAATAATTGATCAACAGCCACAAAAAGAAGAAGCCTTCTCTCCGAGATTCCCAGAAAAGGAGGTTCGGATTCCTGAATTACCTCAGGTGTTTGTTGATGTGAAGAACATCTTAAAGAGTAGATTAAAAGAAGGTCATATGAATCCTCAAGAGGTTGGAGAACCTTCAGCCTGTGCAGACACTAAAATTTTAATTCAAAGCTTAATTAAAAGGTTTAGCGCATCACAGTTGATGAGCGAAGCATCTATTGTGCCCAGCGACAGTAAGATCAGTGACTCCGCTGTAATTTCTTCCACGAATAATTCACCAGAATCAAGAGCAGAGAGTAGAGACGATCCATTGTGCGTTGCAAATCTTAAGTCTGAGCTTTTCCTTGATCTACTTAAGCAAAATCAGAATAGCCAGAACATTACAGGAGTGTTTGAATTGATGAAAGATTTAACTCAGATGGGGTATAATCTAGAGAAAAGAGGTATTACATCTAAAGTACTTCCACTGCAACTTGAAAATATTTTCTGCAAGCTGCTTACTGATGGATATTCAGAGAAAGCAGAACGGGTTGGAGACTTGAATCAAAAATCATCTACTACTTCTGAGATGGTGGATGAAAAGCAACAGATTCTTGATGAGCTTGAAAGCAAAGAAGGAAACCATGATTCCCTTAATTTACAAAATATGAAAGAAATTGGACCGGAAAACTCTACCGAGTGTGCATCAGTCTTGCCAAGAGATGGGAAGCTGGAGGAACAATGCAGTGATTTCCCAAACCGTTTGGAATGTATTTCAGAGTCAAAAGAAATGACTTCTGGGGATAGCTTAATGGAACAAGTAAGTTGACTTTACCTTCTATATGGAAATAGCTGCATGAAACATTTGGGAATAATCCTATACATTTTATTTGCTTTAAAAACCTTCGTAAAGACTAATGAAACAAAATATCCAAATTTGTGTTTAGTTTTCCAATGAGTTACATCAGTGTTTACAGCACACATCAAAAATGCACGAGTATTTGGCTTTGCTTCAAGATATGAAGCCCCCCTTAGACAACCAAGAAACTCTGGATAACAATCTAGAAGCTTTGAAGAACCAACTTAAACAGTTAGAGGTAAGAATTGTCTACTGCCTGTTATGGATGGTAGTCAGCTGATGTTAATTTGGAAAAATAAGCATAGCATTTTACTTTTATGTTTCAAATATTGGTTCCATTAGTGTTTCTCACTAAATAGTTGTGGGATATGTATTTTTTGCAGACATTTGAATTGGGATTGGCACCAATTGCTGTTATTCTAAGAAAAGACATGAAGTCGACAGAAGAGTTTTTAAAGTCTCTTCCCAGTGACTTCCCCAGAGAACACTTTGAAGAACTGAGTATAAGCCACCAAAGTTTACAGAATGCCTTTTCTTCCCTCAGCAATGTGTCTTCAGAAAGAATGAAACACATCATGCTCGCAATTGACTGTGAAATGGTAGGCAACAGAATGTTTCACATTGATCAAATTTGAGATTTGAAGAAAATTTGATTATTAAAAAATTTAGTCATAAGATGAAATACTTTATTTTTGGTGTTAAGCCCTTAAAACAGAATCATCATTTGTAGGAATTTGAAATTTGGGGACAGAAATAAATGAACAATTTTGTTTTCTAGTCAAAACTAGCAGTTTCCCATGAAGAATTTCTGCACAAACTTAAGTCGTTCTCACATTGGATATCAGAGAAGAGCAAATCTGTGAAGGATATGGACATTGTGAATATTCGAGATACTGAACATGTAAAGAAAAGTTTGCAGTTTCTCAAGGCAAGTATCAAAATAAATAAGACAAGGCACATTTAAAAAGCTCGATTTATTATAACAAATGTTTAGAAAAATCTGACTTTGCTAAAACTACAAAGTATTATTTTCTTTTATTGTCACTTGAGATATTTATTCATAGTTGAGACAACTATAAAATAATCACAGCTTTATGGATATGTCATTCTGATGCTGTCCCAACTGCCTTATCAAACTCTTACTGCCACTGACATGTTGATATTTGTATTTATGCATTTATTTATACATTAGTCAAGTCCATAATAGTATAAATTATCCTTGTAAATACATCGCAGTATAAATGGTATTTATATATTAGTCATTTTTGTCATGCCCCCCTTTTTTTCCAAGTTCTTAATTTGAACAGTGTGCCTCATGAATGACGGTTAGGCTCCTGGCTTCTGAGTCAGAAAACTGAAATTGTGGTCCATTTAATTTATGTTTCAGATTCCCCGTGGTCTCGTTTATGTACTACCACAATTTACATGGATACTATAAGTACTAGCAAGCGATATTTTAATGTTGATGTTTTCCTTCATTGTGTTAATGTTGGATCTTTACCTTTTGTCAGAGTTACATTTTAAGCATGATGTGGCAGGCAAGGTTAAAATGTTCTCAGAGGGTTTATCTTACATATTAATTACCACAGTATTTAAATAATTTCATCATTACCATTTTTACTAGATGATGAATAGATTTTTGATTAAATGAAAAATGTAAGAATATCAGTAAAACCTTGAGTCCCTAATGTAAGAAGCATTTTAAAAATAAATATTGTTAATATAAACTGTATATTATGGCTTAACTCTGCGTTGGTAACTTGTACTACTTTCTTCACAGAATGTGTTAAAAGACCTTGGACATACCAAAATGCAGCTGGAGACTACTGCCTTTGATGTGCAGTTCTTCATTTCTGAATATGCACAAGATCTGTCTCCCAACCAGAGCAAACAACTGCTTAGGCTCTTAAATACAACTCAGAAGTGTTTTCTTGATGTACAGGAATCAGTAACTACCCAGGTGGAACATTTAGAGACTCAGTTACAGCTAGAACAAGATCTTGATGATCAGAAGGTTTGCTTTTCTTTGTGAAGTGGGAGTTCTTTGTTTTTAGTTCTTCAGAGTGAAATCTGTAATGCAAATATCCAGGGATTATGGCAAGATAGGAAAGATTTTTCTGGAAAAGCAGTTAATGGACAGGGCATAGTATAGAGATTCTTCAATATGTAATAATATTGGTTTCCGTATAATGCTATAATTTATTGATTTTAATTTTCATGACTCCCTAAAACTACTGTTTTCAGGTGAGAGTCTTCACTTTTTTTTCTAGGAGTAGGATATATGGATGTACTCAAATTTCAAGGGATAGATCGATGAACATATGAATAAAGAAGGTTAAGGGTATAGTTTTCCTCTAGGAGTTGGTATGGCATAGCAGTTCAGAGCACGGGCTCTGGAGCCAGATTGTCTGAGTTTACATCCCAGCTGTACCATTCACTCATTATGTGAATTTGGGCAAGTCGCTTAACCATAATTTTCTTATTGGTAAACTGGAAATGGTAGCAGTGTTTACGTGGTAGTATTGTGAGCACTGACTAAAAAAATGAACATAAAACACTCAGTACCTTGCCCAGCATGTGTTAGGCTCCTACTAAGCATGATCTCTGGATGTAAGATTAATAACTAGTGTGTGTATATATTTAATAGGAAAATGAAAGATGCAACATATTTGACTTAGAATATAGCACTCTAATTATATTCAATACAATCAGTAATGAAAAAAGAGGCGGGAATGGAATTAGACATAGTGATTAAGTAAAAATATTGCATGCAATATTCTTTTTATTATCTCTAGAAGCACCCAGGCATTGTCCCTAGCATGATAACCTATATGCACATTCGAATATATTAACAGACAAATCACGACTAACTTCTGTTTTGATATCCTTTTACAGAATTAATTGTGTGTGTCGCAGGTTTCAAGAACTTAAGAAAATGGAATGTTTCTTCCTGTCGGTCAGAAGTTCCATCTCTTACACATGTGCATGGCCAGTATTCTGTTGAGCAATTTCATCCAAACATGATCTCTTTCTATGTATATGAGACATGCTCTTACTTTCTGTGTCACCTTGCTCAATTTGTACCCCACTGCTATCATGTTTACAGCATACTTAGAAAAGCTTATTTAGAGGAATCTTGCAAAATGTGTTCTAATAAGGAACTATCACAATATTGAGTTTATGACCATCACTTAAGGTGCTTTGGTTTTGTTCTGCTTTAGATTGTGGCAGAG